CAAAATGACAGCAGCATGTTATTTAATTGACTAATATTTTTACATTTGCTTTTATTTGTTCCTCCTCCCGGTGGTTGTCACCTTTATTCCACTCTGTATTCACATGAGTGAAGCCTTTGTACACTTTACAATAAATAAAGAAATGAAAGAGAAACAGTTCGGTATTCATTCTTTTCCTGCTTTTTGCATCAACTGACACGGTTGCTAAGCGACAGAGCTTAAGATGGTGAAAGCCACCGATGGCTAGACCTGTTTGAATTCATAATCTAAACTCTTCCAATATTCTTATTTTCAAGGACTTCACAGGATTCAGTCCAGGTAGACTGTGTCCTTGGAAGACGCAGCCCCAGAATTCGAACACAGCGTATGTTTATCTCCTTGTGAATCATAGGCAGGGTGCAGCCTGGCTCATCCAGCAAACAGAGACTCTTCTCAGGATGGGTTTTGGTGGCTACGATGTAGCATAATCTGAAAACCGGCTCGTCTCTCCCCTTTTGAGGCCCAAAAGCCACAGGCAAGACAAACTTGAATGGAGTCAGCTGCTTAAGTAGACTCTGTCGTAGGGATGTGATGTCAGGGGGGAGCCGCTTCTGCTCGAATCATCATTTGCTGTGTCCAAATGAGGCCTACATGTTAAATACCATCTCTGGAGTAACGAACACACCAAATCAAAAGAATCAAGGCGGGGGCATTATGAAGCTGTGGAAATGGTGATGGGATTGGGAATGGAGACAAATGCATGATAATCCTAAAACAAACTCCTGTTAGAGGGTAAAAGGGAGTCATGGTTAACCTTCCTAAATTCAAATAACCAGTTAATAAAGAAAAGGTAAAAAATACAAACAAATCTGTCAAGGTATAGAGACATGCATCACAGAACTACAGGAAAAGTGTTAATTTACTGTAGGCTGCACTTGTCAGTTACCTTGATAGATAAGGGCTTTCATAACTTCAGTTGTTGCATTGCAATTCTTATTTTAATCTTCTTAATATAATATATTGAACAAAAAGTAGTGAGTGTAAAGAAAAAGAAATGTAAGATGTTGAAAATTGTGAATAGTTATAGCTATGCTGTGTAGACAACCGAGTATGAGTGAAAAAGAATCATCCAAAGCCTTCAGGTGGTTAAATTTAACAAAAAAACACACGTGGAAAATTTGTGGTTTTATTGAAAGAAGGCCAGTCAATTAGCTCCCAAATGAGGCTGTTCCCCTCAGGTCAGAGAAATATCACAGATAAAAATCTAATAAAAAAACAGAATAATCTTCAAAAATTTAATGTTTTTATTCTCTTGATCATAAAGTCAGACAAAATGCCTAAAGGGTCTTAAACTTTTACATTTTTTATGCAGCAACCCAAAAAAAAAAAAAAAAAGACATTTTAGGGGGTATTTTTGTGACTGGCAAAATGAAAGTAACACATACTTCTTTAGGACGAAAGGGACTTAAGCTTTTTATTGCAAATAAAGCAGAAAGGCTTTGTGGTATGTCTACATTTTCAGACCAAAATGCTTCTACTTTTCACCGTACAGCTTAAGCTTAATCAGACTGGATCACAAGTCACTGGAAAGAACATTTTTGCCCAGTTTAAAATGCAAAGATGAGTCTTATAGCTGCTATTAGAGCTGGATGGGTCAGGCAAGATAGGATGGGTTAAATACATTCTTATTCACATAAAAGATGTATAAATTATGCATAAATCCTATTTTGCTTAATTGTCACAACTATGCTCTGAATTTCTATGGTCTACATTTAATAGATGTTGTATTCTGTGCAGCCAGGTTTATTTCATGTGGTCTGCACCATTTCTTTAGCCTGTTTTTATTGTTCTAAGGGGACATACCTCATAAAGAATGGTGCTGTTACCATGGAGTAAAGGAGCATAGCAGATGTAGGAATGGCCGACCACCCAGCCCAGATCAGATGCAGCCCACCAAACCTGTATTAAATAAATATATGCATGTAATATTATGCATCAAAGAACAACAGCTGTATTATCACTAGTAAACTGCACCAAAATGGAGACAAAAAGCAATAATGTCCTTAACTGTTGAGGCCACGGAAAATGTAAATCAAATAGAAGCTATCTAAATGATAAATGCAGCTGAAAATACTAATTTAAAAACCTATTGTGTATCTCACTGTAATCAGATCATATGAAGTGAAAATGCATTCATCTCCCTCTCTGATTGCTTACACCTTCCCCCCCCAGAAGAGAAGCAATAAGAAGAGAAAGCTTTATCAACTTACATCTCCAGGGCTGAGACCATAAATATTTGACATGGTCCATTTCAGCATAACAGCATAGCCTGCGGTGTCTCTTACGATGCCCTGGGGAATGAGATAAGGAAGACATTAAAGCAGTGACAGGTATTTCTCAAAGCTAAGAAGAAGGGTTCCACTATCAGTTAAAACATGGAAGTTCAGACATGCACTGTTGAAAGCAATGTTTATCATTTTTGAAAGAATGTTTTTAGAAACCAGCAGTGTCAGGCTCAGTTTTAGGCAATAGAACTACCTAAACATCCTGCAGCAAACAGACAGAAACCAAAAAAAAAGCTCATTTCTGAAAAGCCCAGGAGACTCCTTTATTAGCCATTAGTTAAAGATAAATGATGCAATTTGCAGGTTGTCAATGATTTTTTCATTTATAACTTCTCCTGCAGACATTTTTCTTTTATTTATGTCACAGTGACGGAGTTTATAGCGGCTGTAGATGGTTTCACAACCGTGGAGATCTGATGAGTCATGATCAGGCTCTATAAATAACCATTTAGGATAAAATCAAACAGCAAATCTTACAAGTTCTCCGTTTCAACAAAGCGTTATACGACATCCACTGCTAATCAGTGACTGAAAGAAAATATTCATTAATGCCATTAATAAAAATGCAAAGAATTATTAATTAAAAAGTTAAGGAATATTAACAGATGAAAGTGTTCCAACTGAGTTTTGCAGATAAAATGTTTTTAAAATAAAGAGGCATTATAATGGGATGCTATCTCAATATAATGAGATACAATCTCAATATAATGAGATACAATCTCAATATAATGAGATAGTATCTCATTATAATGAGTGGCGGAAACAGGCTTTTATAGGTACCAGTCTAACTTATGGACTGTAAAAAAATAAATAAATAAAAAAAAATTATCTCATTATATTGAGTTACTATCTCATTGTATTGAGATACTATCTCAAAATAATGAGATACTGTAGTATCTCAATATAATGGGATACTAACTCAATATAATGAGATGGTAACTCAATTATCTCATTTCTTTTATTTATGTTCTTTTATTTATATAATATCTCATAATGAGATAATATCTCTATAGTGAGATAGTAACTCAATATAATGAGATAGTATCTCATTATATTGAGTTACTATTTCATTATAATAAGATAATTTTTTTTTGTTTTTTTACAGTGGCGGAAACGGGGTTCCATACTAACTTTTTACCTTCCATGTAAAAAAAAAAAAAAAAAAAAATCTAATGTTTGAACAGTAAGCCATTACGTATACCTTTATACATTTGCTGTGGTCAACAATATGTAGAAGCTTAACATCATATAAATAATGTTAAGGTTGGATTTGAGATTTGATTTTCTACAGTTGGGAGAAGAGAAAAAGGTGATTTTCATTCCATCTGAAGCTCTGCAGTCAGTAAACTTTAGAACAGCTGCACCTTTTGAACATTTTATGCTGGAGGATTCATTGCTTGGCCTATTTCTTTTCCAAGAGCAGAAAATAACATATTTATGCAGAGGTTTTAAAAATACAAAGAAAAATGTGTTTACCAAACGACTAAACTCTAGGGAGCAAAAATGACTAAATGTCTTTAAACTCTTTCTCCAGGCATATCCATTGATTTTATGTTGTCTTCCATGTATGGCAGATGACAGGCATCATATTACTGAATCAAATTCTGCTTTTTTTTATATCCAACACTTTAGAATTGTGCTCAACTGTCGGTCAAGACCACACTTGGTTTCGGGTTCTCCGACAGTGTTTAAAACATTTTTAAATCAAGCTGAAGATACCCCATTCCCCCCAAAATTAATTTGAGAACAAAAACGTAATCCCATCTGAAACCGACAATGAACCTCTGATAATGGTACCTTTGGTGTGCCTGTGGTCCCAGACGTATAGAGAATGTACAAAGGATGGTTGGATGGCAGGGGAACACAGTCATGTGGACGAGCGGTGGCCATTTCTTGGTCCCAATCCAGGTTCAGCTCTGGATCAAGAGAAACTTTCTCCTGAAACAAAATAAAATGGATTTGCTCCAATTATGACTCCATTAATTTGGTCTCATCTTCAGGCTGTAGATTTTACTGTTAGGTCAGATGAATAAACAATAGTTTAATCTGTAAAAGCACAGAAAGTGTGGATTTTATCAAAAAATAACATCAGTAAACAGATTTTCCTTGAGTTTTTGGAACCCGTGGTGTGATTCATTTCAATACAATCAATACATACAAAACTATATTCTACTGAAAAACCTTTAGGAAAATTCCTGCCAGGTTCTATTTCGGAAAACCTGCACATTTGTGGTGAAACAGGATATTTAGATGCGTCAAGAATAACTACAATGATGATCCGTCAATGCTAAGTGATTTATAATAAATTAAGTTGAATCAAAATAAAAAATATAACAGAAATAATTAAAATCACAAAGCATTTTTCACAATTTAGCTAAAACGTTAACTTGGGAAAGTAATACCCTTTTTTTTTTATCTCTTAATGATCTGTGTTGCATTTATCAAAATATGTAGTTTTACATTAACAAGCGAAACTTATATTGCATATTGCTGGGCAATAATAAATTTAAATTGTAGCCTGATATTGGGTTATATTATCGTGATAACATAACATAAGCGACACTTAAAAAAATGTCATTACTTCTCAGCAGTCCGTCTTAGCTAACTGTATGGCTCCAACTGTTTACGAAAAACATCCCAGCAAAATCCCAAACAATATCCTTGAAGAACTAAAAAATATAAAAAATAAAAAATAATCACCTTTTTTCATGGCACCAGTTACATAAAGAAGCATGATTTATATCAATAAACATCTGGTATTAATGTAATTTAATCATATTCATCACATTTGTTAATAACCCCAATAGCATAAAAAAAGAAAAATATTCCAACAATTTTTGGAATTTTTTTAATCGTCTTTGATCCTAATTCATCATTTAGATGATAAATCAAATGTATTATTACTTGAAACTTATCACATAAGGATAATACGATAAATGCCCACCTATAACTATTAAGGATTTCACAAACAAGATTTTCTTCTGGGCCATAAGAGAATATAATTTAAAAATTTGTTTACAATGTTTTTGTAATTTGTGTTATTTTCTATAGCTGTCATAATGAAAGATAAAACTGACTTGGAAAATGTTGTTTATCGTTAGTATATTCATTAATCTTTAAGCTTGATCAACATTAAACAGCATAATGTATTTTTTTCTGCTGTAAAGATAAAATAAAGACTCAGCTCCCAAACAGGATCTCTGCCAAGTTGCAAACTACATTTCTGAAAGCAGTTATACCGAGTATAGAAGTCTATTTGTTTTGGGAATTTTACAAACCTGCATTCTCTTAATTTCAACTCTAATACCAGATGATTTAAAATTCATTAAATGTCCTCACCATGTTGGGCCTGTTATAGATGAGGACTTTGGAGGGTCTGTGAGAGCTCATCTCCAGGGCTTTCTTCACCAGCGGGATGTACTCAACTCTTCTGCCTGGCTCGATGCCAAACGAGGCCGTCACCAACAGCTTGGGCTGCAGAAACACCAATCATGTGAAAATGTTGGGGGAAAACAAATTAGAGGAAACGGAGAGCAGTTCACAAGGGGCTTTCTGGCAGTTCTGTAATCAGGTGCAAGCCTCCAGCACACCTGGTGCCTCCTACATCATCAACAGCATTTCCTGTAGCCTTTCAAAGTAAGAGAACCAGTGCCTATAAACCTGAACCACAATAATAATAGTGGTAGGAAATAAAGAAAAACAACTTGTTTTAAAAGAATTTTGGCTCCTTATTTACTGTTCAGTGTCTTCTAATTTTTAACTCTTCACTTTTCAACTGAAATTAAGTTATTTGAAGTAATATAATGCAAAATTAAAATAGTGTTTTACTTTTCTACATTAAAGTTGCAACAAAGCACTAAATAATATATAGCAGTTTTTACTTTTTTAACCTAGAGATCTAGGCAAAAACAATTAGCATTTCTCCGAAGTCTAGTGGAAAAAACTCAAACACATTTTCCTTATATCTGTATAACTGAACTCATTAACTAAGAAATGCTGGGGTGAGATGTTAGATCTCCTTATGGCTATAAATGTTATTCTGGGGGGGCTTTTAACCATTTATTCCAGCCAGTCTTTTTATTTATTTTTTTTTTTTTAACATGAACTTGGAGTACAAGTTTGAATTTATTGTGAATTTTCTCTAATTGAGACAGTGTTAAAAAAAAAAAAAAAAAAAAAAAAAAAAAAACTGCATATAGGCTTCAATGCATAGGCCTATTGCAAGTTAAAGAAAGTGCACAGATTCCATGGCCATTACCAAACATCTGTATATTCCTGGCTGGAAATCTGGCCACCTATTTTCTTGACTATATTGATGAACTACATTGGAACTAGTTAGCTAAATATTGAAAAAAGTAAAAAAAAAAAAATGCTACAGGTTTTCAGAAGCCCACCTTAATATGACCTGATATATTGACTCAAATGCAACATTTAATTGTGTGAAGGTTCCAACTGTTGATTTAATGTAAACTTTTGTCAATCATCAGTCCATTTAGTTTAATAAACCTTATCCCACAACCACAGCATGACACTGCCACTACCGTAATTGAAAGCTGGGCAATCAGAATGACTAAAAGGGCCGCTGAAAATTGAATCTCCTCTTTTATTTTTAGAACGCTCTCAGTCAAAACCAATGTAAAACTGCTTAATTGTGAAAGGAGAAGTCAGTGTTCCAGTATCTTCCAGCTTATAATAGGTTTGAGGTATTATAGACCCTGATTCCTGAAGGATTCGGATGTACTTTCATTTATGCTTAGGGTAACACTTAGATGATTGACACAATCAGAACCATTAAAGAGGGTTATTGGATGTCAACCTTTTAATATCTGAAACAAGCATTTAAAGTAAAGTAATGCACAAACCAGATCATTAATATGGCCTTACCTAAAGCTCATAATTTAACCCAATTAAATTGTATGGACTGTCCTTAAAAGCCAGTTTTATTTCAAGACATGATCCATTAACAAAGCACTAAGGTGATCATGTTTACAGGTGGAATTATACTCAAAGTTTGTTACTGGATACAAAAAAGTTCCTTTTTATTACAACATGGTCAATGATGACGGAGCAAACATCAGTGGAGGTCAAAGAGTGGCTCATGGTAGTGTCAGTATTATGCATAAACGTGTGCAAAGTAAACAAAATGTGTCGTTCCTTGGTTAATGATTAATCATATTGAGCTTAATATAACAAAGGTCGGTCAGGTAGGCCTACATGTATCTTTTAATTATTTACAGAACAGACAATCAGACTGAAAACACAAAAGGAAGATTTAATTTTAAGTTGGATACAAGCAACTTTAAAAAAAGAAGAAATCCCAAAAATAAAGTAAGGTCTATTAAATAAAATATTATTTATTCTTGATGTTCAGGATCAAATAAAAGGTAAACAGAGGAAAATCCTTACTTTGGCATGATCAATCCGGACTGACAGCTCCTTGGAGGCAAAGCCACCAAAGATGAGGCTGTGCGGGGCACCAATCCGTGCACAGGCCAGCATGGTGAACATGGCCTGGGGCACCATAGGCATATAGATGACAACAATATCCCCTTTCTGCACCCCATTCTTCACAAGGACTCCAGCTAACCTCGACACCTGGATTAGCATAAAGAGGAATTGATGCAGAACACTGAATATAAACTGTCGTTATAGGAAACCCAACCTGTACCTTTTATGAATGTTTATGTGAAAGGATTTTATATAACTATATAAACCAGAAATTTCCAATATAAATGTGCTTTTAAAAGTTACATTTATCTTAAGACTCAAAACAAGCTTATTGTGTTCTTTCAACGCCACAAAACCGAACAGGGTTTAATTTAAAACTTATAAATCAGGCTTTATCAGTGCAGCTAATTAGGCTGTCCAGTTCCCTGTTTTATTTGCTACCACTCACCTGGTCCTGAAGTTCCCGGAAGGTAATGATCTTTTTAGTTCCAGCCACCGGGCTGTCATAAATGATGGCTGGCTGTTCTCCACGGCCACTTTCCACATGATGATCCACAGTATTAAAGCACATGTTTAACTTCCCCCCAACAAACCTGCAAGAAAGACAAACTCTCATCACAGACATGCAAACATTAATGCACATCCAGACAAATAATCTTCTGGTTCTGAAAAGGACTTCAATGGTTGGCATGCCTATCTCTAATGTAAAACAGATCTGACCTCTGCAGCCTCCTGTAATATATTTTATTTCTCTTTTATATTTATAAAGACGTGTGAACATATAGTCAGCATGATTGTGACTGTGATAAAGATGGGTAAAGCACAATGAACTCATCTGGTAAAGGTCTGTGCTTTGCTGATTACAGCTAATCAATGGCTTTCATCAGGCAGATGATTCTGCAGATTTTAAAACAGTTAAACAACAAGAAGGCAGAACAATTGATGTTTATATAACTGTCAGGGTATTTGTTTATCCTTCCAAACCAGATCCTGTAATTGACAGCTCAAATTTTTGTTCTTCTGTCTGAAGGCTGACATTGTGTTCTCTATAAGTTAAGACTCTTTCCCATCTAAATTAGTGAGGAAAGGGAAATTAACTGAGTTTTTCAAACAAAGGTTGACCAGTATTTGGCAACCCTGCCATTGGCAAAACAAAGCCAGGTTTGTCCCCACACTGGCAAACGGGGTTAGCATTGACAATGTCACAAGTGGGACAGAAATCAGGAAAGTGAACAATGGAGAGCAATATGATAGGGAGCCAGGGTATAGTAACTGTACTTATATGTTTGGTTTTTTTGTCCCTCTGATTCTGTCTCACCAGTGCTGCACCGTGTTTATCGAATGTTACTAGCGGTGTGTTGACATTCGTACATTGCAAACAATGGTGTCACGTAAATTAGCGGGTCGACCCAGGTCTGCTAATTCCACTGTATGCCAGTCAGAGCAAGGGGTCGCTTGTTGAGTTGTTTGACACAATACAACACGGGTCAGTGAGCCATTCCCACTACTAATAAAAGATGATTGTTCCTCGGTTTAAACAGCTATTTTGGCCAGCGAAAAAAAAATCCAACAACACACAAAAAAACGACATATGTAACTTTCCCCATTTGTTATAAAGACGGTAGTCGATGCGACTAAATTTCCCTGAGACTGTTTATTCACACCAATTATGCAGGATTGAGATTCAGGTAATGCATGACCAACACGTGTGTTTACTGTGAAGTTATTAAACACAACATTATGTTTACCTCTTTCAAGATTCTAAACTTGTCAGCACGTCAGTTGCTGACGAGTTGGTTGAGGTGACAGCGGAGGTAAAGTGATACAGTACAAAGCCAAAGGTAGAAGTTTCTTAATTTCATCATTGTCACATGACATTGTTTCTTCACAGTTAGATTAATTATTACCTCATTGCCATTCATCTTTCACACTGCCACTGTCTTCCTTCAGGCAAAACATTACAGCTTTTCTTCCACTAGGGGTAGCCAAAATCAACCAAAATTGAAACCTGGCACAACTTACTTAAGCCAAAAGGAAAGCGAAAATGACGTAAATGAAATTAGAAAGGGACTTATTTGAATAAAAATAAACCCCAGCTGTTGGATGATCAAAAATACAACAGACGTTATTGAAAACTAAACTCATGATCTTGGAACATTTATTTTGTACCTGGTTGTTAGCCTAGTAAACTAGTCCCAACCGCCAGCGGCCAAAATCATTTTTGCCTGTGAGTTGGTCTAGCCTCGATCAATGCCCCAGGCCCTAGAACTGGCGGGCCAATCACAATGCAGAGATGTGTTTGGAATTTTTGGAAGCAAAGTTTTTAAGGGCGGGACGACAAAGATGGCAACAACTATTAAACAGTTCTCGTTTGACTCAGCTTCGGAATCAGTTTTGGAAGGATTAGACTTGGGGTTTTCGTTGAAACGTGAGCAGAAGAGGCTCTACACTCATTCATTTTTAAGAAGAACGTATTCGCCGTTTTATCAACAGGCTGTTTGTTTACACTCCCCCACCAACTTTCTTTCGCTCTTTTTACGTCACAGTCAGTTGCACTCATTGGTCAGAGCGTTGGCCAATAGGCACAGAAAGCTGTTTTTAAAAATTAAGGGTTGCTCTCATCAACAATCTTCCGATGTCTCATTCATCGGGGCCAGACTAGATTATACATTTAATCTCACATTTAGTCTGGTTTATCAGGCTACCTGTTTGTATATTCTTAATTTCAATCTAATAACAGGTTAAACAATATTGAACAGAATTAAATGTTTGGAATGGTGCTTAATTCTCAAACACTGATTTCAATCTGATTTGTTTGCCAATTTTGATCTAATGTTTTTTCATCCATAAACATTGTCATCATTGTATTATAATACGTGAAATTAAGGAAAATCTAAGTTTTAGTAAGTGTGTCACTGTTACAGCTATACAAAATGTAAATGCCCCATTTGGTGTTTTTTTTGCACATTAAAACAGTTTTAAAAAAATAAACTTACAACATAACAGACTTGTTTGTGTTTCCACCCAAATAAAAAAATGCCAGGCATCTCAAAAATGATAAGGCAGATCCCACTGTAGGTTACAAATTCAACACATTCACACATGGCTGCTAAAACATACTTATTATTCAAATGTTTAATTCTAATTGATTTAGAAGTGTACAATGGCAGCATGATAAACCTCTTGCAATAAAAACCAAAATGTTTAAGCGGATGTTTTTAATAAGCTTAGAAAACTAGAAATTTTTAATTGCGCATGTTTTCTTCTGGCATTTCAGGGATTCCATATTAAAGTGTTGATTAAACCTTTACAACAGGGTAGCCTTGCTCTACTTCTGCTTTTCAGGTATCCTATTTATGTGATTAGTTGTATTGAATCAAGGCTGTATCTTTTATCTTTTTTTATTTGATTATATTTTCTGAAGGGCTTTTTTTTTTTCAAGTATTTATAGTATTGTGGCATTTTTGGCGCTCCATAAAACGGCATTCATTGTTTACTTTCAGATAGCCTGTAGTTTTCAGCTTTTCCCCTCCTTTCCTGCCAATTTGAAACATGAAATTTTTCTATGTTGTGTTGTTTATACACTCGCTGAAAACCTACCAGTTTGGAAACACCGGGTCTTCAACATGCAGAGTTTTGCTCCAGGGCTCAAACCATTTTATGTTGTGTCCCATCTCACCCCAGAAAGTTTCAGGGTGGTCCCTCGCCGAGGCGAAGGCTTGGCTGTAAGCGCACACGGACGCATAGTTTCTGCAGCTTTGTAATCCGGAAAAAACATTTTCTTTTGCAGCTGCATGCGATCCTGTAGCGCTAAAGCCTCCTTCTAGCTGTGGTTGTTTTGCTGCACAGCAATACCAAAGTTTCCTTTCCAATATCCTCTTGCTGTGGACAGGAGCGCAGGGCGTCAAGCGCATTAAGTTCTTTATTTGGGAATGCATTGTTTCTGTAGTTAATCTCAAACTGTTACATTAACTCAATGTCCCGTTTGCAGGTAAAAGTTGTAATAATCAACACTGATCGAGTTGACCTAGAGGGAAAGAAGACTTTAGAAATCCTCCTTCAATGCCCTGCAGGAATTTGAACTATGAACTGGATGTAGTTTTTGCAGGAGGAGCTTTAAAACACAATAGTGGGCAGAAGATGTTACATAACCCACAGCTGCAATGTGAACTGCTTTCCCATAACATGTGTTCAACATAATTCCAGATTTTTAGCTTATTTTCAGTCTTTCTAAATCAGTTTCTCTTAAATAAAACATGGCATTTTGTTTTATGCATCATCTTAAACTCAGTGGTGGATAGAGACTAGTTACATTTACTAAGTTACATTTACTTGAGTAACATTTTGAAAAAAAATCTACTTTTAGAAGTAAAAAAAAAAAAGTTAGCACTGTAAATTTACAGTCACATGTTTGTATTACTGTTTTTATATTTTTTATTTTATTTCATTTTTCACTATTTTTCAAGGCTGCACTTTTAAAAAGATGAAATGACATATAAATATGTCTAAGTAAAGTATCACTAATCCTATTTGAGTAAAATCTCTGTCTACTCTATCCTCTGTGAGTAATTTGAATTATTCCAAGATCAACTGATCATGCAGTAAAGAATAGATATTATATTTACCCTTTGGTATGGTTCACAATAAAGGATTTATTTTCTAAGTTTTATGTAGAAAAAAAAATATTTGTTTTTCATAAATTTATTCTTTCATATTAATGGCATCTTTATATGCATTTGAGCATTTAAAATTCCAAAAAGTGCACATAAAAGCTGTCTGTGTGCATCATTTCTAAATATCAAATCGGATATTAATGTTATTCAGTTTTTGATTAGCCTTTCAACCAAACCTTTCGACCAAATACTGTGAACTGCCTTTAATATATATGTTTATAATTCTCTGTGATACTTTATTCCAACATTGCATGATTTACTCGTGTTTTTATGGTTTTGGTTTATTGCATTGAAAAAAATGCCATTTGTTGTATACCTGTTTGAAATTTGTTTTTATTTATTAGTTTAGCCTCTACAACATTGGACTCCCACATTTTGAGGATTGAAGCTGGTCCATTTTAAAGCATATCTATTTTTTTTTCCTGAACACATTCTTTTGTTTGATGTTAATGTATGCATGAAATAACTGTAATACTAAAACATATTTTAAGCTGTTTTTTACAGGTAAATACTTTTGGTGAAAACTTCAATTCCAGCCACAGAAAATCAAGTCTAAACCATGATTTTATGTTTCAGAGTGGGCATTATGGTTCTATATAGCATAGTGTTATCGTGTTATTGAACCAAACATTTGCCATTTGAAACAATGCCCTGAAATAACAGCCATAACACACATTTATTCTCTTACAAGTTCTCAGAATCCCTGAGACCAGCTTGGCTGTTTTCTGCCGAAGAAATGGCTTCAGTCTAGAATCCTAATTCTTAATCCAGACATAAAAAGATTGGAAGATTTTTGCCAAACTAAGACAACAACCAGAACTGGCAGAAATTCCTTCAGTATCCTTGGTTGTGTTTTTGTAGCTCAGTGACCTGTTTTATTCTGGTTCTTTTATCTTTTTTAGAGAAAAACGGTTCACTTTGTTCAAATCTGTTTAAGGGCTTCACAAAACAACTGTATTTATACTTAAGTCATATAAAGTAATTCTCAAAACAATAGCTCTGCAATTCATTCAAGGATTTAAGGATAAAGAAGGTTAAATACCAATGTATATCATCTTTATTATTTGTAGTCGTAAAAACAATTGAAAAAAATTCTATATCCAATCACTTCTCGTCCCAGTGTCTACAATTTTGCTCTGAGTTGTTGTGCTTTGTGCACGTTTCTTCCAAACAGCTTCCAAGCTGCTGGTAAATACCCATAATCCAGCTCGCCCTCGCTGGACATGACCTCTGCCCAGAATCCCACTGGGCTTGAGTAACTCAACCATCTGATGTTTCACATCATCTGTTTCTATTTATACATGTGGAACAATGTTTCCATCAGATGCTGCAGGAATCATGGCGTTCTCCAGGGAAGCAGTTGCCTTGCAACCACTGGGTTCATTAAACTTCTTGCATTAATAAAATCTGATGGGAAAATAAAGTTCTACATAAAAGCACTTTATTTAGATGAATAACATCTAACCTCAAAACAAATATGTCCCTCTTTTATTTAATCTCACTTCCAAATCTATTTAGTAAATTCTTGATTATATTTTTTGTCTAAAAAACAAATAATTTCAAATTTAAACTAAATGTTGAATAAAGTTGTTCTAGATCCTTATTCCTTCAAACATGCTTCTAATTCTTTTGATAAAACTATCACTGCAACCTGCAGGGGATGTAATGTTCTTGCACTTTTGCAGCAGAAGTTAACAGAGCTTTTTTTGCCCCTGAAAATGGATTTATAATCACTCAAATTAGCTTTGAGATAAAGATTAACTTTTTAATTTGGAGAGCAGTTTAAGATGCAGCAGTTCTTACAGCTTAGTTTAATGGAGGAACATTAATATAATGGCTTGCAATCACTAAAAAAGTATTAATCAAATGCCTCAGACCAGAATCTTTAGGCGCAGTACTTGAAAATCATTAACACCCCTTAAACTTTTTATTTGACCAAAACTTGCATTATTTATTGGAGAACAGAAAACATTAATGACAAAGAAGTAAAGAATGTTCCATCAGGGTTAGGTTAAAAAAACACCACCTTTCAGCATCATGTAGAGTTCTTTTAAGTTCATTGATCTAAACGTAGAAAGTGTTTGATGCAACTACAAATTTATCAAGATATGTCTATCCACAGAAATCTGCAGCTCAAGCTCCACAAATCTGCCCTCAACATGATTCAATGCAGTTAAAGGTGGAAGTCACAAGAACCAAAAATTATTTTAGAAGGAGTTTGCAGTTTGCTTCAAGCCTTGTTTGAAACAGCTCTTTTCACAACATGTGGAAGAGGGTTTTCTGATGAAATTAAACATACATTTACATTCAAAATGCTATGTGTGGCTCATTTAGGTCACTATTACTATAGCTGCAACATGCATCATACATCAGGGATATACTTTAGAGGGATGAAGTAGAAATTTTTAAACTTTGAAGTGACAAAATTAAGAAAAGTCCAAATGGAGTGAATACAAACAAATTATTATTTCTTCACCTGTTTCCCTCTTCCAAATTCCAACTGACCTTCAGTTTTATCATCAAACAAATGCAGTAAATCTTCTAG